CGCAAGGGCAGCGCCGGGACGAGCGACGCGGGATCCGAAGAGGCGCTGACGCCTCGCGCGTCGTCGCCCAACCCGTACGCGCGCACCGGCAGCCTCGGCCTCGACTTTGGCGCCGACGTCGTGGGCGCCGGCCACCGCCACTTTGGATCGCCGCTCAAGCAGGCCACCGCCGCCGGGGTGGGCCACGGCGGCGACGACCTCGGCGAGCTCGACTTTATCCACCCGGACCACCTCCAGCCGCTGCCCCCGATCGACTTTTGATCTCCGGCGCACAAGACGAGCTTGGGTCGGGTCCAGGGACTCGGCGGCAGAGATGCGGGCCATCTCCCCGTCGTGACCTCGCCCGCTCCCGCTGCCTTCCGCGTGCAATCCTGGCGACATTCTCTCTTTCCCCTGCGATCACTTCGAGTCTCTTTAATCGTCTCGACCATCCTCCCTGCCTCGCCGCGACCCTCCGACCCCAACCACGGACCCTCTGCATCATTATCATCATTATCGCCACCGCCGACACCGCCGCCGCCGCCACCACCTCCACCACCTTCGCCACCTTCGCATTAATCCCGTCGCGCCACCTTTCCCCCTCCATTCTCCTGTATTAGTCACGGCCCCAGCTGCTTGCCTCGCCGCTTGACCCCATCCGCCGTTCTTCACTCGTCTGCCGTACGCACCGACGACGACGACGGCGGCGGCGGCTGGGGCGACGCCGACCCATCCAGCACACGCCACCATTGGCCGCTCTTTCTCTGCCAGTCGAGCCGCCCTGTTTGCGCCTCGCTTTTCATCTCACATCATTTGCATTGCCCCAGCCTGCCCCACCACCCTCTTTCCCCTCTTGTCCAGCATCGATCATTGTCCTTCCCCCTCACACCTTTGCCCCCCCCTTTCTCGACCACCCCCATCCCCCCCTGCTGCTGCACTGTGCCACCTGCCCCTCCTTGTATTGCTAGACCAAAGACTGGACGCCGAGCGGCGCGCGCACCGCCGCATGCGTCCCATCTACGCGGAATCGGAGATGTACCCAACCCAGCCGAAACCCCGCCCGCCCCGACTGCTGGCTTGCTTGTCGTTCCTTCCTGCTTGCTTGCTTGCTTGCTTGCTGTTCCTGTTGCTTGCTTGCTTGCTGTTCCTGTTGATTGCTTGCTTGCTGTTCCTTCCTGCTTGCTTGCTTGCTGTTCCTTATGGTGTTGTTGCTGCTGCTGCTGCTGCTGCGTTGCCACGAGCGACGGTGAAGTAAGGTCGCTGCTGAGGCTACGCCTGCTGCTGCTGCTGGGGCTGCGCGCGATTCGCGCCTCGGTGCAAGCCTCGTTGGCAGACGGGAGCGGGCGGGGATCGGATCATGTAGGGCCACTGTAGGTAACCGCGCTGGGCGCGCGGCTCGTCGATGCGGTCGTGGCCCATGACCTTGAAGCCGGCCTTGACGTAGGCGCCCTCGCCCGCCGGGCTCGACTCGAGGTAGACGCTAAACGGACCCGGCACCTCGTCGGCGTTGTCCATGGCTCGTTGCAGCCCCCAGTCCAGCAGCATCGTCCCCACCCCCCGTCGTTGGTGCGCGGGGTCGACGCAGAGGAGCTTGAGGAACCTGCATCGTAAAGTCGGCGCAGAGGACAAGGCGCAAGGGGCAGTGGATGGGTCAGTGCTCGAAGCGGATAGGGTGGAGCGAGCGCCTCCTCTACCGCTCCCCCCTCTCGTATCCGTTGTCGGGTCGATCGAAGCGCCAATCCGGCAAGGACTCACCAATGGGGTCGGGTACCCATGACCTCCTCCCTCTTCCTGTCAATAGCAGCCGAGAACCTGGCCCACAGAGCATCCTTCTTCCTCCTCTTCGTCTCCTCGTCATCCTCGTCCTCGTCCTTCTTGGCCTGCTCATCGGACCGGGGGCAAGGACGAGTCTTGATACCACCGAGGACAGGTCGGATCCACACCGAAAACGCCACCGCCTCTGCCTCTGCCTCTGCCTCTGCCCGTTCACCCTCTCCCTCTCCTTCGCTCTGGGCGGGGTGATCGGGGACCTGGACGACCTTGACGACGACGAAATCGGCATCGTCAAAAAAGGCCCGGAAGCGCTGCACGGCGAGGCGCGCCTTTTCCTCGTCGTCGATCGATGCGGTGAGCGGGTCCGTGGCGAGGAGGCGGCCCAGCTCGTCGGCCGCGTTGTTGGGATCGTTGAATGCCCGCTTTTCGATCCGCGCCAGACTCGCACTGTCCGACGCCGTCGCCGGTTGCACTCGGTACCCCATCTTCTTTTTCCCCGTCGTCTATGCTGCCTTTTCACCCCTGATCGAGGAGGAAGAGAAAGAGGAAGGTGCGAGAGGTAGAGTAGAGTAGAGTGTGGTTTGAAAGGTGGGGTTAGGTTAGGGCTTGATAAGGTAGCGAGGGGAGATGGTGGTAGATTGTCAGAAGGCGGGCGAGCGCGGCCGGCTATCAAGAAGGGACGTGGTGGGGCGTGCACGGTCCTCGGTTTTTCCTCTCTCCTCGCCCTCCACCTTCGTCTTCCGCTGCCGCTGCCGGCTTGCTTGCTCCTTGGCGCCGATTCCTGGGGCTTGGTTAGACCTGCCGGCCAGTCCGGCTCAGCCGCGTCCCTGCACCGCCACACATGACACGGTCGGAACGCTCCGCTCCGTCTCAGCATCTCCAGCCCCCTCTCTCTCTCCTTCGGTCCTTCGGAAGACGTACCGAAGCGGTGCAATGCTCCTCCTGCACCCTCGTTACCTGCAACGACCCACAGCCAACTAGCCTAGTAGAGGGCGAACGCGGCTCGCTCCGAGACCCTAGCTTCGACCTCGAACCACGCATGGCACGGTACGGTGCATACGGTACGGCCCGCAGACTCGGCCCGATGCCAAGCCAACGGAAGAAGCGAGCGAGCGTGCGCGTCTGCAACCTGCCCGCAACACATCAAGAGGCCGTGACTAAACTGGCCGTCGAACCAATGTCGCGGGCCGGAGCACACGACAAACAGAGAATGACTCGCTGGTTGACAGGTGTGAGAGTAAAAGGGAAGAGATGGGGGGCCAAATGAGCGTAGATGGGCAGGCAGTCCGCTACGGATCGCGGAGCGAGCAAGTGCGAGCGAGAGCGAGAGGCGGTGGTGGGGTGGGAATAGAGAACGAGAGGCGCTGGTGGGAATAAAGGAGAGGGGGAAGGGCGGGGACGCCCCCATCAACGTAGCGTCCCCTGGTCCACAACAGGGACAACAGAAGACCGGGGCAGATCGACCGACTGGCGGCAGCAACTGCTACCGCCGCCGTCTAAGGTATCCGCGGGCTTCGACGCCTCAGCCGCTGGGCCGAGGCAGCGGCCCGCGCAGGACAGGACAGGATAAGATCATGAAAAGGGAGCCGAGGCTTGGTCGAGTCATGCAAAGACAAGCGGATGCGGGTCGCTTGTCGGTCCAGGGGTACGGCCGCCGGCAGCGAAGCAACGCCACGCCATCCCAGGTCAACCAGGGCAGCAGCGGCGGCTCAGAGGTTGTTGCTGCCGCTCAGCACGCTCTCCGACTCTTCCATGACGTTGTCGAGCGGCATGCCCGGCTGATACGGCTCGCGGTAGCCCGTCGGCATGGCGTACACCTCGTCCTCCTCCTCGGCGCGGCCATAGTCTTCGGCAAAGCCCTGACCGTTGTCGCCAGAGCGCGGGACGAGGCGCCACTCTCGCGGCGGGTCGCTCGTCACCTCCTCCTCTTCTTCGTCGCCGCCGACCGCGTCGGCGGGCTCGCCGGAAAAGTGGTAGTTGGACGCCGCATCTTCCGGGTAGATCGAGTCCTGGTCGACGTACGAGTCAATCGTCTTGGTGGGCGACAGCGGCTCGGCGCCCGAGCTCACGTGGCGGCGGCGAATGGGGCTCAGTGTGACGTCGGGCGAATCGACGCTGGCCTCGGCAGTCATGGGCGCATCGACGGGTGTGGTCGTCGTCGTCGTCGTCGTCGTTGTCGCTGTCGACGACGATGACACGTCGGGCTCAGCGATCAGAGCCGCAGCGGCGAGGGCGCGCTTGGGGCTCTTGGGCGGCGGCGCGATAGGCCCGACGCGCGTCGGAGACAGGGGCTCGAGCGGGCTCTTTGGCGCACCCTTGCCTCCGAAACGGCTGGCAACGGTGGCGACGCGCCCCGCGGTCCGATCCTTTGAGAAAGGGTCGATCCGCGAGGCCGAAGTCTCAGAGGCCGGAGAGGCAGGCGCCATCGCCTTGCTCTTGCGGACCGCCTCGACGGGGCTCAGACCAGCGCGGAGCGACTCGACCAGCGCCCTCGTGTCGATTGTCGCCTTGGGCTGCGCCTCCTTGCTGGCCACAGGGCGCAGCGTGGACCGCAGCGGAGAGTGTTCGGCGATGGACGGCGAGGGCTGCAGGGGCGAACTGCGCCCGCTGCTGACCTCGATGGGCGGAGCCGGAAGGACGAGCGACGTGTCGGCCGTCTCGGTCTTGGCGTTTGCATCAATCGTGCTCGACGATCGGTCGAGGTAGCGGCTGTCGAGCTCGGCCCGGCTACTCGATGGGCTGTCGATGCGGTCCAGCTCGGGCTCGTGCTCTGCGGTGGCGGCGTCCGGCCGGGACCCACTGCTCTGGAGCGGAGGAAACTGAGGCGGCGTCGACGCTCGCGGCGTGTCAAAGCTTTGGGGCTCGTCGCGAGACACTGCGTCGGTGTCGAGAGCCAGAGTCTTGGTCATGCTCGCCGACGTTGCATCGGGCACGGCCGTCTCGGTCAGGCCATTGGCCGTCGTGGCGACATTCGCCGCGCCGGCGACGCGCAGGCCGTTGCTCTTCCTCGGCGCCCTCCATGCGACGTCCTGACCCGTCATCCGGTTCTCGTTGGCCTTGAAAAGCACGTCGAGCCAGGCGTCGTCCTTGGTATCCTGCTTCTCCTGGGCGCCCAAGAGGCCGCCAAGGTTCTTGCGCTTCCGCTGTGCACCGCCCCGTCCTTCGAGCTCGGCCGCGTCTGGGTCGTCTGAGTCGTGAACGCTGCGGACCTCGAAGTCCTCCGAGGTGAAGGAAGCGTCGGCATCGTGGCCACCGTTCTGCGCGCGGCCGCCCGTCTGGTGGAACGCGCTCGAGATGCCATGCTGCTGTGGCGGGGCACCGTCTAGATGAGACGACGACTTTTTGGCGCCCTTGACCACGCGCATGCTCTTGGCCCGTAGCGTCGACATCAGCCTTTGTCCGGTGCCGTTGCTGCCCTCGCTGCGGAATTGCGCGTGGTTGCTGTCGGCGCTGGGTCGGCCCTGCTGGGCCAACGTCGCATCGTCCGAGACATGCAACCGGCTGTGGCTCTGGCTCTGCGCCAGGCGCGAGGGCCTCGGGTCGGCGTACGCGTCGTAGCGATTCGGGCCGCTAGCCCCGTCGATGAGTTCAGTGCGCGAGCCGATGTCGCTCAGCCGGATGTGCTTGGTCTCGCCGCCGTACCCAGGTCGGAAGGGATCCGACTCGGCGCCGGTCAAATAGTCGTCCTGGTACCGATCCTTCTTGGAGCGGAACATGGTGAACTTGCGCACCATGGCGTTGCCCCTGCTCTTGCCGCGTCCGGCCACCTCGAGCTCGGCGCGGTAAAGCTGGGGCACCACCTCCTGGATGACGAACCAGGCGGCATCGGTGCGCGGGTCCTCGGGAATGTCCTGGCCCAACTCGTCCCGGCGCGGCACCACGAAGCGCGTGGGCGCCGACAGGCTCGAGCCTGCGCTTTGCGAGCCGACCGTCGAGGGGCCCGGCCGGCTCTTGTACTGCAGCACGGCAAAGTTCGAGGTGCGGTGGGTGAGCTCGTCGCGGTTGCTCCACCCAGCGCCGACCAGGTAGTCGGCCCATACGTCTCCGAACGCCTCGTCCATCCGCGAGATGGGGTGACCATCGCAGGTGCCGGCGGCGTCGCCGGCGCGCGACGGGCTCGCGATCAGGCGAGGCGTGGTGTCGTAGTGGAACGGCGGCAGCGCCTTTTGGCGTTCGCGAAGCCTGCTCAGGATACGCTCGCGCTCGTCGGGCCAGTTCTCGACTTCCTGCTTGAGCCCGTCGTCAAAGCTGAGCACAGTGTCGAGGCCGTCGTCGGCCGAGTCGAAGCCAAGCGACTGAAACTCGGTCCACTGCACCGTGTCGCGCTTCTGATGGCGGCCCTTGCGCGCGCTCTCGTTGAGGTCAAATGCGAGTTTGGTCTCGTCCGGGGCGGTGAAGCCGTCGGCGAGAAAGTCGCCCCACTGCTTGGACACGAGCGAGCCATAGACCTTGACCTCGGCGTCCTCGGCCGCCGTCTGGCCGAAGGCGACGACGCCGCTCGGCACCTTGCCTCTCCCCTGCGCGCCGCCGCCGCGGAGGTTGATGAGCTTCCGGAAGCGGTCCGACAGCTGCGGGTCCTTGCCGTGGCGGTCGCTGTCGTGGCGACACGCGTCCCACTCGGGGCACTCGACGTCCAGATCAATCTCGCACGCCGTGTGGACGAGGTCTGGGCTGTAGAGGCGCACCTGGCGCTCGATCTGGACGACGGGCACCATCTTGGCATGCTTGCCCGGCATGGCAATGTCGGTGGCCAGCATCGTGGGGTAGCCGGCGACGTGGTCCATCAGCTTGGGCGGCTGCGCAGACACGGCGGCCTGGCTGCGGATGTAGGCGAGCAGGAGGTGCTCGGCGGCGTTGCTGGCGCGCACAAAGGCGTCGTAGGTGCGGGCAAACGTCTCGTCCTCCGGCAGGCCGAAGAGCAGCGGGCCAAAGTGCTTGGCGAGCTTGGCGGGGACCATGCCGTTCTTGAGCGAGTAGGATGCGGTGGACGAGAGGAGCGAGAAGAGCGAAGAGAGCAGCTGCGCCGTCGGGGTCTGGAGCTGCTGCAAAAACGAGTTGAAGGCGTCGGGAGGATGCCGGGACCGCCGCTCGCTCTCGCGCCACGCCATGTAGAGGTCCATGTCGAGGAAGCCGCGCTGCTGGATGTAGACCATCTCCTCGCGCACCTCGCCCTTCTTGGCGGGCACCGTCGAAGGGATCGGGACGGCGAGCACCCGGCCCATCCGCGCAAACGCCCACTTGATGACGGCGGCCAGGTCGTGCGGGTTGGCGTACTGCACCTCTTCCAAAAATGCCGCGGGCAGCGTCTGCCGGCTGGCCGGCGCCGATCCGTTCTGAAAGGCCTTGATCAGCGAGGTGGCGCTGTCCGGATTCAGGTCGAGGGCCATCGACGAAAAGATCAGAGGCGAGTCGAGACCTGGTCGAGGCGGGCGGAAAAGGCGAGAACAGATTCAGAGGCGAGAGGCTCAGTCGGTCGGTCGGTGCTTCCTCCATTGCAGCCTGAACGAACAGGCTCGAGCTGCTCGATGAGTCGCGCTCATGGCACTCACCTCTCTTGCGGATCTGGTCGCCACATGCTTCGAGGATTGGCAGCACCCTGGACGGATCTAGCTGCACGTCGGTCGACTGAGGCGTGTAGCCATACGACGGCGTCTCGAGCGTCTTTTTCGCGCTTTCGCTGAAGCTGCGGATTGAAAAAGCGGCCGACGAAGTCATGGGCGGCGAGAGCGGCCGGAGCGACTCTGCGGTCTTGGATTTGGAACGGCGCAGGCTGCCAAAGGCCGATCCGTGAATGGTGAGGTGGTTGGGGGTCCCGGCGCCGCCCTTCCTGGCTGTCGGCAGGCTGGGCGACGAGGCCTTTGCGCGGAGCGTCGGGTTGTCGAGCCGGCCAAACTCAGAGTGCTGGCTGCCGGCGGACTGGGGTCCGCTGGATCCTTGGCTGACATTGAGGTAGGCATCGTTGGCCGAGAGCGGGAGCGGCGGCAGGTCGTCCTTTGTTGGCACGGCGGGGAGCGGGTGTGCGTCCGCCAAGCTGGGCGAAGGGGTGAGGAGGTCGATGCGCTTGAGATCGCCCGTCGAAGTCGAGCCGAAGCCGCCCTTGGACAGTCCGGCGCTGCCTTTGCCCTTGGCTGTGCGCTTAGAGAACAAGGCAGGCATCTCGATGTCGCCTTTGGTGGCGGCTGCAGCAGCGGCAGCAGCAGCAGCAGCAGTAGCAGCAGGTGAGACGAAGTCGAGGGTCGGCAGAAGTAGGCTACGGAGCCGCCCAGGCGCAGGGAACCTCTCAGGCGTGGCACCGAGCCTTGCGAGTTAGGTCCGGGGGACGAGGCCGGCGAGAAATCGGGTTGATCGTGGCGGGCACCGTTAAGAAGTTGTACGATGTAGAGACGGCCGGGGGCCAAAGGTGTCACTACTTCTATTCCAGGCCGAGATAAGGGGCGTGCCGGTATGTGTCTGCTGGTTGGCGAGGGCGCCGGGTAAGGATGATGGGCCGTGAAGTGGGGTATACTGAACGTTCTGGACTGCGCACACCGTGCTGGGATGGTCGGCGAGTGATGGGCGGGTCGGACAGGGAAGTCGTGGGCGTGCGGCGAGACCGTACAGCGCAGGCCGAGGTCGGACAGATGATGGCAGAGACGGGAGCGAAGTGGACGGGGATCGGGGGGAGGAGGCGAGAAGAGGGGAGACGGCAGGGTAGGGAGAGAGAGGGCCGCGGACGCGGACGAGGACGTGGACGAGGCGGAGGAGCCGGCCGCCCAAATGGTGGCGCAACAAACGACGACGACGGCCGGCAGAGACCAAAGGGCAGGCAAGCAAGCAAGCAAGCAGGGCGAAGGCGGGCGCACGGTGGTTGTGTGGGTGAAAGAGACTCGCAGCAGCAAGCGACAAAGCAGGCAAGGGGAGGCGGGCAAGCCAGCAGGCAGGCAGGAGGCCGTTCCTCGTCGTTGCACGCCAGCAGAGTAGAGTAGCATATGCATGGCCCCTCCGCTCACCGGCAACGGCACCGTTCCGACGACGCAGCACGCCTGGCCCGTAGCTTGGCCCCCGGCCCCTCCGCGCTGGCTGCCCCTCCTACCCACCTCGTCACACACGCCCGCCACGCTACGGTGAACATGTCGTTGCTGTTCTGTTCGCCATCGCCATCGCCATCGTCGACGGTCGTGCGAGCTGCTGACCGGGATCGAAGAGCAGATAGCGGACCGAGCAAGCAAGGACCTCATTTGTGGCTCGCGGCGCCCCCTTTTCCTTCCTCGACCCCTCGCCTCGCTTAGGGTCGGGGTCCGCAGCCCAGCCTGCCTGCGTGCCATAAGTACGTGCGGGTGTGCGTACGCGTGCTGGCGTTGTACGTCCTGTGCAACGCACGCAGCGCCGCGCTGGCCTGCCTGCTGGCCAAGTCACACACATGCTGCAGCACACAACGTACGCAGCGCCCGATGTCGTCGTCTTGGGGGGCGGTGACGGCGGTCGGGGCCGGTGCCTGGCGCGTGGGGCTGGCTTGGTTGTCTGTTTCTTCTCTCCCGGCCGCCAGCCCAACCGCCCGTCGGCCCGCCCGCGTCTAATCTCTTGCTTCTAGACGTTGCCTTAGCTTGCTGCTTGTTCCTCGGGCCCGCAAGACTGGGCGGCAAAGCAGGAGCATCTCGCTCAGCCGCAGGCAGGCAGGCAGCCAGCCCGCTCCAAGCCATCGTCAAGGGAGGGCCAGCCGGGCCTGAGCAGCACGTACCTGTATGCATGCAAGGACGGCAGCCCAGCCTTACGCCGCCCCGTGCGAAGCGAGTCGATCTGGTGTGAAACGAAAAAGAAAGAAACGCCCGCCCGCACCGCCGCTTGCACCGCCTGCCAGGCATGCCTGCCTGGCCTCCAGGCACCCCGCCAAATTGATGCTCGGGCCACCCGGCTGGCAAGCGGGCCAGGGGACGCCTCGCTTGGGCCCATCATCACCATCATCACCGCCACCACCACCACCGTCACCACTACCACCATCGCATCCACCGTTCACCGTCTCAGCAGCATCTCCCTCTATCCAGCGTCCTGATTGCCTGATCGCACGCCCGCGCTCGACACAGATAGACGCACCTGTCCGCGCCCGCCCGTCGCTCCGGCCCGACCGTCTCTTGGAACGTATCCTCATCAAGTCAAGCCGAGCGAGGCTTCCTGCCATGGCGAATGCATGTCTCTATACTCTCACGATCATGACAATGCAAGCTTACCCTTGTTCGACTGTTAAGCTGCCGCTGCGCCACCGGCACTGACCGGCGCGCCGCGCTCGCCTTGGAGCGGTTCGGGTGATGCTCCAAACGGGCGCAGAGTCGTCGCCCTCACCCTGGATCCGTGATGCTCCCTGATTCCTTGTTCGGGCTGGACGCGACGCCGTAGCCTCCTGAGCAGAGCAGCTGTGCCGATGCTCGACGCCAGACGTGATTGGCACTCTGCTGATCGGCAGATGGAGACGCTGCTTCGGTCGGCTTTGTCGACAGCCAGTGTACAGTACTGGCAGCCCTCGTCTCTGCGCGACGGCTCGATGCTTTGCTCCATCGCCTGCAGGCCATCATGATTGTCGGGCATTAATATTCTTTCCCGTTGAGCCCCTTCCTCTCCGCTCACCTTCTGGTCCGCACAGATCTGTGGAGGGAGGAAAGCGCCGATTGCGACCACCAGCGCCATCACTGACACAGGCCAGGACAACGTCGGGTCGACTGAAGGACTTCGTCGGCTCACTATCGGGCGGGCTGGTGACGAGATCGGGAGGGTAGGCTCCGAAAGGCGCCCTTCGTTGCCGCCGGTCGCCGCTCCGCCCAGGCCAGCCAAGCCAGTACTAGTCAAAGGCCAGAACGCGCCTTTGCCTGGCCATGGCGCCTGCGAGGTACCTCGAACGAGCACCCAGAGGAGACCATCCACACACGAAGAGCGTCGACACCGCCGACCCATTCCGTGCTTAGATCCAGGTGGCGACGAGGCGCGCTCCCTGTGCCATGTCAAGCCGTGCATGGCTGTGCGGACCTCGGGCGCCGATGCAGCGAGCGCGGCCGGCCTGGTTCGGGGAGCGAGGAGCGTGTGTGGCGGGCAGGCCGTGGCACGCCACGAGCCGCAAATCATCCGATTCGCGGTCGCCGATCCTGCTTTGAGTTGGGCGTTGGGCTCGGCCTCTTGCCTCGCCTGGCCAGCTGGCCTGCGAGAGGAAGCCTGCCTCGGTTATCCCGGGGGCGAAAAGAAGCGCGGCGAGGGGTGGTGCCACATCCAACCGACAGGCTAGGGCAGGCTAGGGCAGGCCAGGGCAGAGGGCAGGCCAGGCCACGCCGGTCCTCGACCGCGGCCACGGCCTTGCTGGCGCCGAGCCGTCGTGCGAGCGTGCGTGCGTGCACTTGTTGGCATCCTTACGAAATCTCGGTGCGGCGGCCTGGCCCCCCCCCCCGGCCTGACCTCGACCTCGCCTCGGAAATTGCCTGATTCTTGATTTTTCAAACGACCCTGCCTGCGCCCGGCCCCAAAGACGTTTTGGTTCTTCGTGGGGCCAACGTGCAGCCCAACACCTGCCGCCGCCGCCACTCTGCCGCCGCGCCTTCGTCTTGCTTGCAAAGGCAGGCAGGCAGGCAGGGCGGCTCGCTGTGCCCCAAGCACAAAACCAGGGCGGCCACCTTCCCATCCCGCCACCACCACCACCACGTCACAACTAGCTTTTCCAGCGTACAGCAGCGACTCTCCATCGTCCCAGGACTGTTCCGAATCACGGCGGCGGCCATCGCAGCACCTACACACTTCAACCTCCCCTCGCCCATACCGACCCACCGACCGCGCCCCGGCTGTCCGCCTCTAGGGACTGCCCTCTCTCGTAGTCAACCATGGACTTTGTCTCGTCGTCGTTCAACTCGACCCTTGGGGCGCTGACCAACCCCGCCACGGCGCAGTTGGCCACCGACCTCTACAAGGGCACCGACTTCAACAGCCTCAACGTCCTCGAAAAGGCATGGGCCAACTGGTACCTCTACTGGGGTAACCCGGTCCTCGCCACTGGCATCATGTCCTTTGTGCTCCACGAGGTGAGTAGCGCTTTGCTCGGCGGCGTGTCGCGGTGGCCGTGGTGCATGTCTTCACCAGGTCGAGGGCCAGAGGCTCGAGCTGGCATCCCATGCTGCAACTCCGTGTCTCGAATGCGATCGCTCACCTCCGTCATCCCTCCTCCCTTGTCCGGCCGCCTCGGCTCAGATCGTCTACTTCGGACGGGCCATTCCGTGGATCATCATTGACCAGATGCCGTCGATGCGCAAGTACAAGCTGCAGGACGAAAAGATCCCCACGGCCAAGCAGCAGTGGGACTGCACCAAGTCGGTCCTGCTCAGCCACTTCACCGTCGAGCTGCCACAGATCTGGTCCTTCCACCCCATCTGCGAGTACTTTGGCATGGCCACCCACGAGGTCCCCTTCCCCAGCCTCTCGACCATGGCCTGGCAGATCGCCCTCTTCTTTGTGTTTGAGGACGCCTTCCACTACTGGGCCCACCGCGCCCTCCACTGGGGCCCCCTCTACAAGCACATCCACAAGAAGCACCACGAGTTCTCGGCGCCGTTCGGGCTCGCCGCCGAGTACGCTCACCCACTCGAGGTCCTGATCCTCGGCACGGGCACCATTGGCGGCCCCTTCCTCCTCTGCGCCTTTACCAAGAACCTTCACATCCTCACCGTCTACGTCTGGATCGTCCTCCGCCTCTTCCAGGCCATCGATGCCCACTCTGGCTACGACCTGCCCATCAGCATGCACAACTGGATCCCCTTCTGGGCCGGCGCCGACCACCACGACCACCACCACGCCGCCTTTGTCGGCTGCTACGCCACCAGCTTCCGCTGGTGGGACCACTTCATGGGCACCGACGCCTCCTACAAGCGCACGCGTGCCAGGCAGGCCGAGAAGAAGAGGCAGGCGGCGCTCGCGGCCAAGGCCGCCGAGGTCAAGTCGTCATGAGGCGCCAGCTGGCTGCGCCGCTTCCGCGTTCCATGTCGCCTTCCACCACCGCTCTTCCGATCCGATCCGCTCCCTGCCCCGTCGCGTTTGCTTGCGCTGAGGGACTCCTGCCACGGTGGGCCAGGGCAGCCACGAGGACTTGCCCCGGCCGATCCGCTCAGCCAAGCGGTGCGCAGGACTTGGCCAGACCGCGGCCCCGGCCGAAGAGCGAGCCTACCGGCAGCGCACCGACTCGGTCGCGACTGCCTCGTCTTCGAACAACCTTCAGGAGACTGTCAGCCCAACCTCGGGCCTATCTACTTTACACGACATGGATAATGAATGCATATCGCCCAATACCCGAACATGATGGTCCCGCACTTGGCACACCGCGTCCGCGCGAAGCTCGCTCCCCGGTACTCTCGTCCTGGGCGACCCACGTACGTACGTCAGGCAGAAAATCGGCCTGGGAGCGATGCGTTGAAGTCAAAGATGCCGTCAGAGGCACAGGCGCCGGTGGGGGCGTGTGATTCGCGAGCCAAGAGGCGATACATACGGTCGAGCCCCGCTTTGCCGCACCTGTCGTGGCGTGTTGACAGGCCCTTTGCTTCTCTACGAACGCATCTACCCACGACGTGGCTCGACGATCTGATCCGTGCGCCATCACCACGAAGCGAAGAGGAAGAAGGATGCAGAACAACGAAGCTGGCCTCTCGACACACTGAAAGAAGGGCCAGCGAGGTGGCGGTGATGCCGTCGTCCCGAGGCCTAGGCGCGAAAAGCGGCCCAGACCTGCTTCATCCGGGTAATCTGGCCCGGGGTGAACTCCTCCATGCAGATGTCGTCCACATAGTCCATGTAGTTGTGGATGTTGTCGAGACCAGGTTCGGCGGGGCACGAGTCCTGGCGAGCGGGACATCCCTTGCTGGCGACCTTTTGCTGGGGCGTGTCCCAGACCTGGTCGCCGGGACCGGTGCAGCTGTAGCCCTGGAAGACGTGGAGCAGTCCGCCGAGCCAGTGGCCGACCTCGTGGATCAGCACCCGTCCCAGGTTGTTGCGAGGGTCGGGCGAACCCGGGTAGAAGTCGTGCTGGATCAGGATGCCATCGCCCTTGGGGTCTTTGGGGTATCCCCAGGGGTACGTCGACCAGCCGAGGAAGGGCACCTCGCGCAGGTTGAGGGTGTAGACGTTGAGCGTGCGCCGGTCGCCGCGGTACAGGCGGTCGTACATCGGCTTGAAGGTTACGTCCGCGAGGCTCTTGACGTAGAACCAATCCGAGTTGGCGACGCGATCTGTGCTGGAGAGGCGGAACGAGAAGCCGATCTTGGAGTCTAGCAAAGCCATGGCGGGCGGACAGAGAGACGTCGACAGAGTTAGCCGGGCCCCCCCTTGCGATGCCAGACGGACACGTCCTTCTACCCCGCCTTTGGGGCAAGGGGCGATGCTCACATTCCTTGTTCAGGACGTCGATCCACGCTTGGATCTGCGTAGCGGTGAGGTCGCCGTGACCCTGGTTGTCGGTGATGACGTGCCAGGCAATGGGGATGGAAACAGGCGCGGCCTTGGCGGTGGCGTCGACGCTGAGGGAAGAAATGGCGCTCTGCACCTCGGCTGCCTCCTCGGGCGATTGGGAAGGGGCACCGCAGGAGAACGACAGTGCCGGACGAGGCACGCAAGCGACAAAGGCGACGAGCGCGGGAAGGAGGATGGCGAGTCTGAGACGCATGGTGACGGGCGCGTGAGCTTTGCCGGGTGGAGGGAGAAGCGGACGGATGGTGGTCTCGAGAGGCTCGATCGAGAAGGCCTTGCAAAGGGCAGAGGGAAGAGCGGTCGATGGGGGATTCTGTCAAGATCAACGGAGGCTTGGCCGATGAGGAGCCCGTACCGAGCACAGAGACAGAGAACCGTCGTATTTAGCCCTTCCAAGACGCTCGCCAACTCCCATGTCGATCCCTGCCTATCGCGCTCGAGCGACGGACGGGAGTGCAGGGCTCGCACACAGTGTCGTGTGCCGGGCTCAAAATCGACTGCTGGTGGTCCTCCCCGTCGCGTAGTGGGCCGAGGGAGAGGAAGAGGCAGGGAGCAAAAAGAGGTGGGGCAGACATCTACGGTGCAGGCAGGGCAGCGGATCCCCGACGGCAGCCATGGGGCCACACCCGCAACTCAGCAGTCAGTCCGAGACTGTCCGTGTTATCCGCAAGGTAGAGAGCGATAAGGGCTACGGACGACCCACTTCCGAAGCGTCTCAAAGAGGTCGCCACGAGACTTGCGAGCCACGCTTCGGCGGTCTACGACGGGGAGATGCAAGTCGATACGACCATCCCCCCACACTACCCCACACTGCCCTCCATCCCAGTTCCGTGGATACGTAACCGTACCTGCTTGAAGATCCAGCTAGTAACATAGATGCATACGACGTATGGCCGGCCATTCAGAGCCCGCCTTGACTCGCGCGAGCCCGGTAAGTGTACAGGAGAACGAACATGATTGTGCACTAGGACAAAAGAGACCATGGACATGGGCTCGTATTCATCATCGTGCCCGCAGCGTTTCTTTCAAGCTCGGTCAATCGGCCTCGGTCCTACCGATAGGCTCGACTCAGGGCACACCAGTAACGTTCGTACATCGTTGCCACAGGTCCCCTTTTCGCCCAAATGCACCGCATCCACACATTGCCGCCTTGCCTACCAAGCGTCGGCATCCCGGCAAAGGTGGGTGTGACGTGGGAGGGTACGATCGCGAGGTCTGCCTGCGACTCGAACAAACTGGTCGAGGGCGTGCTCCGCTCTGCACTGCTCTCCTCTCGGCTGTCGTGGGCCATCGGCGTACTTCTTCTTATCTCGTGGCGCTCAGCGGTGTCCTTCAGGCAAGTGCACGGGCAGCGGGCTATGGCAACACGCAATAACATTCATGATTGAACATTGGAGCAGAAATGGTCATTCGGAGGCCCGAGGCACGCTGGAATGGAGATACGAGGCCCGCCGGTTCTCTGTCCATCTTGGCGAGGAGACCGCGCCGGCCACGCGATGGCGACTCTGGGCTGAGATGCCGGGCCATGCGCCGCTCGAGCTCTCCTCGTTGCACATTGCTTCTATCAGACAATAGGCGACCTCGTAGCTCGCAAAAGGCCCTTATGCGCGGTAGGCGCCGTAGAACTGCTTCATGCGGGCCACCTGGCCGGGCGTAAACTCCCTCAGGCAGACGTCGTCGGAGTAGTCGAGGTAGTTGTGGATCGAGTCGAGGCCAGGCCTGTTGGGGCACGAGTCCTTGCCCGTGGGGCAGCCTCGGGACAGGGTCTTTTGCGGGGGCGTGTCGGCGACGCCGTCGCCGTCGCCGTCGCACGAGCCGGAAAAGACGTGGAGGAGGCCGAGCCAGTGGCCAATCTCGTGGATCAGGACGTGGCCCAGGTTATTGTTCGGATCCGTCGAGCCTGGACGAAGGTCGTAGTGGATCAGGACACCGTCCTGTCGCGGTTCGGATCGGTAGACCCACGGGTAGGTGGCGTAGCCGACGTAGCCCGCGCTGAGCATGTTGAGCGTGACGATGTTCAGCGTCCTTTGGTTGCCGACGTGTAGGCTGTCCCTCAGCCGAACGGTGGCAGCAGTGTCGACTCCCTTTGTGTTGAACTGGGCCGAGTCCTGGAGGTACCGCGTCCCAGCGAGACGGAACGAGAAGCCCGTCTTGGCGTCTGTCGGAGAGCGCGTGTTGCTCGGGCGCGTCCGCTGGTCAGCACGCTGCGCAGTCCAACGTTGCCGGTACAGTACTTGCAGCGCCGTACTCACAGCCCTTGTTGACGACGCTCATCCACTCCTGGATTTGAGAAGCGGTGAGGTTCCCCTGACCGCTATTGTCGGTGAGGGTGTTCCAGTACACCGGGATCGAGACAGGTCCTCGCTCGGCCTCGACGGCGCTAGGGAACATCGAGAGCGCTTGCAACTCTGCGTGATCCTCGGACGTCAGGCTCGGCGCGCCGCAGCCCAGATTGCCTCCCAGCGTGGCGGCGAGGGTGGGAGCAGCCGCGACCAGGGCCGAGACAGCAAACGCGAGCCTTACTTGCATCTTCGGGTGCGAGCCTGCCGAGGGGGGAGGTTGGGACGGGGCGAGAGAAAGGCCTAGTGCTGAGGCTTAGCGTGTCCAGACGAGAAGGGGGAACAAGATGAGGTTGGCAGAGCGTTGTAGGGGGGGACAGAAATCTCCCATCTGCCGTCTGGGGGGAGGGAAGCGTTCGAGGGCTATTTAAGCCGTGCACTTGTTGACTCGACCTTCTCCGTTCCAGAGCGGCGGTGCAGGGCCGTCTCTTCGGTGAGGATCAAGTACTCGCCCTTCTCACCGTACCAGGACAGCCAGAGCTTGTCCTTCAGATGCGAGAGCGTAGCGGAGCGTGCCACGCCGTTGACAAGAGTCGACGCCGCTCGAGGCATGCGCAGGCTCGACACTCTTTCTGCCCGTCCCGAGCGTATCATCGAGCCGTGCCTTACGACGTCGCGCGAACATCTCAGCCCTACCTGAAGGCCTTCCGCAACGTGGCAGGCCGAGACACGCACAGATTGGCATAAGTCCCCTCTGCGCAGAGAGCAGCAGCGGAAGTACTGTACTGTACAAGTACGTAGAAGAACGTCCCCATACAGCCACGCACGCGATGGCTTGGTAGAGGAGCGCCAGACTAGACGAGCGCGCAGCATCTCCCGAGGCGTGAGCCGGAGGATAGACACGGCCTGTCCTCTCGCGAGAAGGGCCCACGGAACTCAATTAAACGCCCAAAACTTGGCGCAGCGAATTTGCCCCAGTTTCGTACACCCGCGTCGTGGGTGCAACGTCGATGACGAAGAGATTTCCGGGCATCGAGGTGGATGGGCCCCTGTTCGTGCTACAGCTGCTAGCCCGGCAAGCTGCCATGCAGAATGATACGGTGGTAAGCTCGAGCGACGGTCATGTGTCCCCGCGCACGCCAGGGGATCCTTCGTCTGATATCTTCCCTTCGTGGAACGGAGACCGAGCGCAGGCGCCACGTGCACGGAACTGCGGACGTCTATGATGGATGCCTGCCTTCCTGATCGATGACGCCCCGCACAGTGTTTGCCAGCCCAATTCCGGTCGTCTGTTGCATCGCTTCCGTCGGGCAAAGGCCGGCGAAGCACGACTACCAGCGCTGCTCGTCGTCGGTCGTCTCCGGAGTCATGTTCGTGATTGCCTCCAGCCGAAGATGGGTATGTACAAGGCCTTGTCAGGCCCGCATTTGGGGGGCCCGCATCGCTGTACGACGCTCTGGCCAATTTGGCGCCACACAGGGACGGAGGGTCCGAGAATCAACGATGACGGGGGCCGGGCGGCCTGCGTGTCGAAGGCCAGAACCACCAAAGAGATGGGGCTTGTCGTCGCGCTCACGCCTCCGAGTTGATGGTCTGGTCGCGCGTCTGCTTGCCTCGCAGCTTCTGAGACGCTCGGCGGATGCGGTCGCGCACGCCGTCTGACAGGGAGGGAGGCAGAGGGTCAAGAAGACGACGCTTTCTCGATGTCAGTCGATCTGGGAGGCCTCGACGAGGCAGTCGGACCCTTCCGCGACCGCAACTGCAACTCACCTTTGGCCCAGACGCCGGTCCTGGCCGTCGAGTAGCCCATGACGCCGCGGTGGCGCGAGTGGAGCGCCTCGGACTTGGCCTTGTTGATGCGCTTGCGCTCCTCCGAGTCAATGACGCCGTCGTCGTTGGCGTGCGCATTCTCCTCGGCGCGCTTGGGCATGCCCTCGAGGCGGTTGTACACCTCGTACTCGTGGCGGTCCTTGCGGCCCGTGCTCGACTGGACCAGGCGCAGGTGGTCGTCGTCGAGCCCGGCGTCGATGCGCACCTTGACGCGCAGCTTGCCCACCACCTCGTGCGGATGCGTCTTGCGCGTCTGCTCGTTGGGGTAGTTGCGCTTGAGCGTGCCCAGGTTGTCGCCGGCCAGCAGGTCCAGCTCCAGGTCGGCCACCTCGTCGTCGCCGAGGTCGCGCAGCGCAAACACGGCCACCGCCTCGGGCTTGCCCCCGATCGGTCCCAGGCTCAGCCCACCACCGCCGATGTCAAACGTCAGCATCGAGCTGTACCGGTCGTAGACGGGCAGACGCACCAGGGCGTCGGCGCCGTCGGGCACCTCCTGGCTCGGCGCGATCCGCTGCGTGTCGTCGCCCGTCGACACCTTGATCTTCTTGCTCTGCAGCTTGGGGTCGGCGCTCTCGATGGTGATCGGGCTGAGCAGCTCGACGGTCGCCGTGTCCCAGCCCAGCAGCTGCTTGGGCAGCTTGGCCTTGACGCTGCGGAAGCAGAAGCTGGCGTGCACCTTGCCGAAGCCCACGCCGTCCTGCAGCGAAAACGACTGCGTCACCTGCGACGACTCCTCGAACAGCCTCGTCAGGTCGAGCGACACGATTCCCATCAGCGGGTCGTGCTCGCGCAGGCGGGCGTCGCGCACCGCCAGCCTGACCTCGGTCCGCGTCCAGTCGCGGATAAAGGCCTCGTGCCCGGCGTTGAAGAAGGGCATGTTGCTCTGCGGCTTCACCCGCGTTTTGTAGAGGATCTCGTCGTTGACGATGATCTCGACGTAGCCGCTCGGCAGCGCCTTGCCGCCCGGGTTCTTGGCGTCGACGTCCTGACCGTAGCTGCCTTCCCGCTCTTTTCCCATAACACCCTTCTCGACGCTTCGCTCCTCGAGGCCCGCAATGTGGTGCACGATGATGCTGAGCACGCCCGAAGGGTACTCGGGGTCCGGCGGGCAGTGCAGCGCCAGCGCCTCGGTCTCGGTGTCGACGGCGGTGGCCGTCCTTTCGAGTTCCTTTTCGGCCTGCGTCTTTTCCTCGTCCTTCTTGCGTTTCATGAGCGATTTGTTGAAGTCCGCCTTGTCAAAGTATGTGACGCAGTACTTGAGGTGGCCTGGCATGGAATCCGCATCTTCGAAGCCTTTGAGCGGGTCCAAGCGATCCTGGGGAACGTTTGGCTTCGCAACCAGCTCCTTGATCGGGATGTTGACCCTTCCCACTATGTCGTCGGCCGTGCGGGCATCAGAGTCCCACAGCTGGATGCCGAGCGACTCGTCGGCACGAATGTCGTCCTTTGAGACCAATAGATAGGCAGTTTCGTTCCAGACGGGGTTCAAATCTTCGAATATGATGCGCGAGCTGAAGAGTGGTCGTCCGAACTTGCTGTACGCCAAGACGACATAGGGATCGCTCTGCGAAGAAACGGTTGCAAGGCAGATCGATCGTCGTCAGCAGGGTGCGACCACGGCCGCCTGAACCGCGGGAGCTGAGCGCGGCTCGCCCCCCGAAACTCACCTTTCCGTTGGCGTCCTGGGCGCTGAGGTCGACGGCGTACTCAATGTCGACGACGAGCACGCCAACGGCGTCCGTGTCCTTCTTGATGCCGTCTCCGCCGAGCATCTGGGCCATGTTGAGCGTCATGCTCTTGGGGGCGACGTACATGTTGGTGGCGGCGGCGATGCTGGACTGCACAAAGCCGCTGATGACGGGCAGGTCGAGGACGTTGGGCAGGGCGCGCGTCATGGGGATGGCGCTGATCTCGATGCGAGGGACGCCCATGAGCGTCACGGTGAGGTTGCGAATGAAGGGCGGTTCCTGCACCATCTGGAGGCGCAGCCTGACAGTGCCCGAGATGTGCTCGACCTGGATCCAGATGGGCAGCGGGATCTGGAAGAGGTCGTAGGCGCCGAGGAAGAACTGGATCATGAGGTGGATGTTCTTGGCGCGGTCCGACGACGACTGCCCGGCGCGCGCCGAGTACGAGAAGGCCACCTCGAGGTTGACAAAGTCTCCGCTCTCATCGTCGGTCTTTACGCCGTCGCCGTCGTCGTCGTCGCTGGCGACGCCGGACTTGGCCTCGGCGGCCTTGAGCTCGTCCTTCTTGCCCTGGTCGATCCACTCCTCGCGCGGGTACTCGTCGTCGGTCATCATGTCGGCGAGTCCTCGCATGGACACCAGGCGGAAGGGGTTCTCGCCGAGGCCGACGTCGTCGATCTTGACCGAGTCGACGAAGCCGGGCAGAGACTGCTGCATGATGTCTTCGACCATGTCGACCATGGGCACAAACATCTCCGGGTTGACCTGCTTCCACGCCGATGCCAGGATAGAGTTGAGCCACTCGACCGACTCGGGCATGGGCGGGGAGTGATCCTGGCCGCGCTGACGATGCATCTCGGCGCGGATATGCTCCATCTCCTTTTCGATCTTGCGCAGCGCGAGGTTGAGACCCGACCAGCCTCCGAAGCCGACGGCGGCGAGGATGCCGGTGCGGAAGAAGAAGCGCATCCAGCCGGCGCCGAACGCGACAAAGAACCAGGTGACGGCGAGGGCGGCGGCGAGGCCGAGGGCCAGCTGTCGGAAAGTGCCCTTGAGGCGCTGGAGCGCATCGGTGTCGACGGGCGCCGGGAAGGTCTGCAGGAGGATGTTGGACGGCTCAGCCGGGTAAGGCGCCGTGTGGAGCGGGTGGTGCTTGGAGGGATCCTTTGCCTTGTTGGACGAGAAGCCCGGGCCATATCGAGAGTCGAGCTTGTCGGGGTCGATCTTTGCGTTTTCGGAGGCGTCGCGAATCTGGACATCTCCGCCCGTCGTGGGATCGCGGACCACGCGCTCGCCCTTGGCCTCAAACTCGTTGGCCTTTCCCTTGGGCTGCTGCTGCTTCTTGATGCGCTCCTTTTCCTCGGCTCCCCCGCCGGCATCCTTGACCTCGTCGTCCTTCCTGACGCCGGTCGCTGCGACGTCGCCCTTGTCGGGCACCGGAGGGCCGCTAAAGGCCCCTTCGCCGGCGCTCGAAAGGCTCTTTCGCTGACGAAGGCCCTCGTAGCCGGTGTCGAGGGCGGGCGCGGCGCCGACGGTGGTGGTGCCGGTCGCGGTGGTGCTGACGGGCGCCTGCTCATCTGCCTCGCTTTCTGCGAGCCTTGATTGGTTCTCCCTGGCGGTCCTCTCGCGCTGCGCCTCAATCTCGCGGTACTGCTGGACAGTCGGAATGGGGTTGCGCTCCGACCATCCTTCGCCGACTTGGTGGCTCGTCATGGCGTCGAGCGGCGGTCGATGCCCCTGGAGGTCGATGGAGATCGAATCAAGAGGTAGGGAGCGGGGCAGATGTAGTAGTTGTTCGTCGAAGGGGTCGTCAAGTCAAGGCAATCGCCGAGTCCGAGACTGGCGTAGGGAGGAGGAGGAGGGGGGCGTCCAGATGGAAGACGAGGCTAGGATGGCTCGAGGAAGGGGGGCAGAAAGGGGCGCCACGCTCGAAGGGCTGCACTGATAGTGGTTGATATACCTGACCAGCCTGCCTCCTCATGGGCCCGGCCGGCTGTGCGAGCGACGCTCCTCGAGCGCACCGCGGGGACCTGAGGTTGAGCGCCAAGAACGCAGGCGACAAGACAGGCAGGCCGGGGCCAGATCAGGTCGAGATCGGAGAGGCAAGGTGGAGACAGCATGCATTCGCACGTCGTCGTCATGTTGCTCGCCCGGCCTCTTGCCTGCCTGCCTGCCTGCCTGCCTTGCGACCACGCCGCATCAAACAGACCCAGCCAACAGCAAGACGGCACGATGCGGTACGGTAGCGCGACCAGGCCGGGCGCGTGCCTAGTCAGCTGTCTTCTCAAGCAGGAGGCTCGGTAAAGTTAGGCAGAGCGAGGCTAGGCAGGGGACGGGTCGCTTGCTTTCTAAAACGGGACAAAGGGCGGGCGGGCGGAGGCATGGATGAGGCTGCCAGGCATCGCACACGATGGGCGCACAGCAAACGCGCACGTCGAGGGCAAGGCAGGAGGCTGCGTAGGACAAGAAGGGAGACCGGGGGCGGCCAAAAATCCCGACCTCCAACGACGTCAGACTGCGCCCCACCCGGAAGGCCGGTCGAGCCAGGCTAGGGTCAGGCTGCAGGGTCCCCCCGCTCCGCACCGCACCGCACCGCACCGCCCGCGCCGCTGCACTCGCTCAACGCGGCCCCGTCAGCAGCTCAAACGCCGACTGCTGTCATCGGGTAACAACGCCCGATGACAGTTTCCCGGCCGGCAGACGGACCCGCCTGCGATCACCGAGTTCGAGCCGTGCGCCGAGGCGGGGAAGCAGCAGCGGCCCACCACCACCACCAACCCCTCCTCATCCTTCCGTATCCGACTCGTCCTGATCCGCGCACCACCCTCACACCCCCTGCTTCTGCCTCCTTCTTACTGCACGGCTCGCTTTCCGGACGACACCACGGCAACATGGCGTCCTTTGCTTCCTCGGTCTTCAGCCCGTTCCGCAACACATACCGATACCTCGTGCGTCTTGGCAGCGACCAACCCAGCAGCGTTCGAGCCGGCATGCGATGCCGCGCTTCGACACTGCACGGCAAGCGATTCGACGACGACGGTGGTACACGGCGCTGACCTTGCTTCTTTCTTGACCCGACACTCTGACGTTGCCTCTCGCTCGCTCTTGACAGCAACACTCGGCACATGAGCACCCCGTCATCTTCTTCTCGCTCCTGATCGGTTCGGTCGGTGCGTACACATCCCGGCGGCGCGCTTCACGCATCCCCGTCTTCCACGGTGGTCGACCTGCTTGCTGACGGCGACGTCTTCCTGCCTCATCCGCCCTCTCTCTCTCTGCCGCAGGTCCGATTGCCGTCGTCACTGTCCCGCCGATCCGCAAGGCGTACGGCTGGAAGCCCGCCGAGCCCGTCCCCACATCCTACCCTCGTGCGTATCCCGGCCACTGCGCCTTCGATAAGGCAGGCCTCGCTACTCGCTCCCGACGCTCTCGTCGGTGGGGACATCAGCCTTTATCCTGGCCTACCTGCATGCTGACGACCTCGTCTGGTCCGTTCTGACGCCTGCCTCGCTCTAGTCCCGCAACGAGAGAGGAAGCCGGTCACCGCTTACGGCGACGACGAGTAAACCGCCTCGTCCCGCTCTCCATTGAAATCCGACCGCATTCCACAGCTTTCAGTTCCATCGCAGCGCGCTCAGCCTTTCGATCTCGCAAGACGATGGCGGCCTGGTTCGCGACGCCCGGCCAGTGTGCCCGTGACCCCGCGACCTCGTCTCGTTCATAAAGGTCGACCAGGGAGCTGTGCTCTTTCGTGCAACCGACAGTGAGCGAACAGCGCTCGCAGCGGCTCCAATGGCCCGCAGCTGTCACAGAGACGTGCGCCTGGTCAGGGCTCGGTAACGTCGCGAGACAGGCCCCTGTCTGCCTAGTGGTTCGATGTTGGCGATGCGCCTCCTGGAGCGCGCTCAGTCCCGGCACGCGCCAGCCCAGACATGGATGCGAGGAAACAGGATGGCCTCGAATGCGGGGGAACGGGGTGGTGTTACAAAGGGGAACTCTTCGGGCTGATATCGTACAAGTTTTCGATCGGCGGAGCCACCGGGGCATGAGCTCAGTACCGGTATCCGGTGATGGTGTCGTCGGCATTTTCGATGAACAGGCTGTCGCCGCCTGCCATGCCGTCGCCGTAGTGATGCTGCGGCCCGCCAGCGCCTGTGCCGGTGCCGAGGCCGAGGCCCATCTCGAGCGCCGGGTCCTGCCCGTAGCCTTCCATCTGCATCCTGGCGTCGTGCTCGGCGGCCGCCATGGCCTCTGCCTCGGCCACCTCTTGCTGCTCCTGAACAATGGCCCACACCGAGGCCTTGAAGAGGGTGAGGACGAGTCCCATTTTGCGCTCGAGGACACGCAGCTGCGAGAGCAGGCTGGCGTGGGCGGCCGAGGACGAGAGGTGCGAGGATAGTGCGGCGACCTGTGAAGAAAAGGAGGGGGTGCGACGATGCCGAGGTCAAAGCTGCATGTTAGCGGCCAACGTCGGCAGACATGGAGCGACACCGGAGAAGGATTCGAAGCGCCACTCGTACTCACCCGGTTGATAGTGCCGGCAAGGCGCGCATACTCGCCCAACAGCTCTTGCTCCGACTCGGAGAGGGCCCGATTGCCGGTATACGGGTTGACAAAGGGCGTCGGCGGGCCGGGAACGGCGGCCACCTTGGCGAGGACCTCTTCCATGGTCGCCATGGCGGCTGTGGTGCGTGCGGGGTGCGAGAAGGGCGGCGGCGCGGACCTTGAAAACGAGAAGAAGAGTTTGAGGGCGGCGATCTGAGCAAACAGAGCTGAGCCCCGCGTCGAGAAGATTGCGACGGGCGGAGAGGGGATGCAAGACGGACTGGGGAGGTGGTGGTGGTGGTGTTGGTGTCGGTCGAAGGGCGGCCAGCCAAACAACACCCGAGCCAGGCGGGAATCGGGGCGTCGAGCACGCGTCGCGCAAGGAAATGAGGGTGGGTGGGGGGATACAGAGGCTCGATCGGGCGAGCTTCCCCTGGCCTGCCAGGCGGGGCCTGGCAAGTGGAGCTGGTGAAAACGAGGCGGGGGTGGGGCATGGGCCATCCTCCTCGCTTCACTTCACTCCTGGCCCTCCATCATCTCGACGCGGCATCCTCTCGCCATCCCCTCGCCACCCATCTTCGCCGCCTCGCAAACACCACTTCACCCAAACCTCGACATCGACTGGCACAGGACCTTTGCCTCGCTCGACTACGCATCGCCGAGAGCCACCATCCCAACAAGAGACGGCAAGCAATGCTGGTCGGTCCAACGCAGCGGAGCGTGGTCACGTTGACCACGCAGGCATCGCTTCGAGGTTCCCTGACCCTTCGTGCGGCAGCCCTGCCAGCCCGGGGGCGCTCCCTACACGCGAGCAGCAAGTCTCTTGCTCAGCCGCCGCCGCCGTCATCGCCACCGCCACCGCCATCGCCAACACCCTCGTCGGAACCGCGCAACGAGGCGCGCGAGTACCTCGAGGCCAAGCGGCTGCGCAAGGAAGCGCGCGCCGGCCAGCCGCCATCGCGACACGCCCTCTTCTACAGCGACATCGTTCCGCCGCTGCTGCGCATTCTGGCGTACGGTTCGACGGCCTACTTTGCGCTCCACCTGCTCTGGAACGTGCTGGACCGCGACGAGCAGCGGGCGCTGGCGGACGCCAAGACCGACGGCTACGCAAACACGATCCGCAACCTCGACGAGCAGATCGAGCAGGCCAAGCAGAGCGTCACGGACAAGGCTGCGGCTGCAGGCAAGGAGGTCGAGATCAAGGCGGAACAGATCAAGGCCAAGGCGTCCTCCGGGTGGGGGAGCTGGCTGTGGCCCTTTGGCACCAGCAGCGGTGGTAGCGATGACAATGGTGGTAGTGGTGATGGCAGTGATCAGGGCCGGTCAGCAGGTGCGGCAACGGCAGCAGCATAGGGCGCCTTGCGACATGAAAGGCGTCGGAGCCCCGGCCCCGGATCGCTGATCGCTGCCGTCGAAGCGTCCGACGATGCTGTCGGGTGCCCAGCGGCAACGTCACCGGCGGGCACAGCGGAACGCGCAGGCCGGGCTGGCCATGTATTCTACCACTGCGTGTGCAGTGAGTACCGCGTGCAGCTTGAGCGGCTTGCCTCGCCCATCGCACGACGTGAACAGAGAAGGATCGATTGCGAGCAGGTGTATCGGGGCCACGATGCCAGGGTCCGTCGACCTTGAGCTCGCTGAGAGTCGCCGTGGCTCGTCGAGTGGCGGTTCAGGCCAGACCAGGCCTGGCCTTGCGGAGGCGGTGGCGGTGGCGGTGACATGGCAGGCTAGGCTAGGCTGAGTCGGGACTTAGTCCCGGCATCGCCGTACGTGGTCTGTTCTGCTGTCCCCTTGTCTGGCGGCTTCGCAGATCGCCACCCGCGCAACCACACCTCTCTCTCTCTCTCTGTCTCTCTCGGCCTCTTTGCTCCTAGCCTGTTTGCGGGAGCGGGGACACGATATGCAATGGCCGGCCACTGCTGGAGTGAGGAAATAATGAGGCGGGAAACGGGCGACAGAAGGCGCTTTTTTGGCTTGGCAGGAAGGCGGCCTGCGAGCAGGGCAGGGCTGCCGCGCAGCGAAGGCCAGCAGGCTGCAGGGACGCCCGGCTGCTTGCTGCATCCATCCTGCCTGTCACCAAAAAGCCCAGGCAGCCGGCAGGCTAGGCCTCAGGCTAGGCGGCTGGGCTGGCTGGACGTGTCTTAGGACCGGCCAGAATCGAGCATCGACCATCGACTCGAGTCTCGGAGCGTTGCCTCCGCCACATCTCGCAGCCATCCATCATCCTCGCCACCATCCACCTTGCCCCTCATCGCAACCCCCTATCACCGTCGTTGTCTTCGCCGCCGCCGCCGCTGCTGCTGCTGATCCCACCGCCACCGCCACCAACCAGCGCCAGTCGCACCGCGCCTCGCCGAAGTCGGACCGAGCCCGCCGCCTTTTCCTCCTCCCGGCCTTTGCACTCGTCCATCCAGCCTGGTTCTGACCAGCCTCATCGGCGGCTGGCACGCCTCTGGCCCTAGAAAAGGCCAGCGGATCCCTGCCATAAGCGCCGCGTCCTGCATTGCCCCTATCGCCGCCTGACCTTCCTCCCCTGCCTAACCCGCCACACGGCCGCGCACAGCCGACCCCAGTCCATCTCCCTCGACCGGTCTTCCGCCGGCCGGATAGTCACAGCCAGGGTCAGCTTTGTTCTGACACGTCCGACAGACTTTAAGCCTCTTGTCTGCCTACTGCTTTCCTCCTTCGGCTACTTTGATCGCCTGCGCTCATCGACTGCAGCATCGCGGCATTGCTGCGCGCTAATCCCCCGGCGACAGCATGCAGCCACGGGACGGACGTCCAGCATCACCAGCTGGGCATACCCCCAACCCCGGCAGTGGCGTACACCCCGCCTACCACAGCCACGCCGCCCATCCACACAGCAGCTACGGTCATCCTGCCTATCAGCGCTCACCTCTCGCCAGTCCCTCGGCCTACCCTAGCTCGCAGCCCACGTACAGCGTCTACGGCGCGCCTTCTAGCAGCCGCCCTTCGCCTGCCGCGCACCAGCTCCAGCATCCCGACCACTCCGCCAGCAACAGCAGCAGCGGCGGCATCGCCAACGGCCTTGCATCGCTTGGTCCCGGCGGCGGCCGCGCCTCGCCCTACTCTTCACCGCAACTAAAGGCCTTCTCTCACCGGACAGTGTCCCAGAGGTCGAGCCCCGAGGTCAATCACAGCTTCCCGTTCCAGCAGCAGCACCAGACCATGGCGCCCTACGCCACCTCGTCGTCGATGAGCGCGGCACACCTTCCTGCATCGCCCCTCGCCAACTCGGCCGACCTGTCCGACGCCTCCCAAGCGGCCCCGGGCGGGAGCCGGGCCAAGCCTCCGGCCAAGAAGCGTAAGACGGATGGCGAACCGTCGGCCAGCCGCGAGAACAGCGTGGACCCGACACGCGCCGGCGCCTCTAGCGACGGCAAGGACGGCAAGGCCACGGGACGCGTGGCCAAGGCGTGTCAGCCTTGCAGCACAAAGAAGCGAAGATGCGACGGACGTGAGTTGTTGCCATGCGCCACCACACCTTCGAGCCCAGCATTGCAGTTGAGGCGCTTGCAGCTCAAATGAGCTGACGACGGTCGCTTTTCCCCACTTGTCCCTCCCATCGCCCTGGCTTTGTTCAACGCCTTCGATACAGGGCAACCGGAGTGCTCCGTCTGCCAGGTGCTGGGCTCGCCGTGCACCTACAACCACACCGGTCTCAAACGGGGCCCTCCAAAGGGCTTCCGGTCCGGTCCCAAGGAGTCGGCCAAAGCGAAGCTGATCCGATCCCTCGAAACGACCGTCCGCGACCTCATCAGCCATCTCGGCAAGGAAGAGGCCGGGTCCGAGATCCTTAGGGTGTCCTCCAACCGCGAGTTGGGTCTCAGCAAGGAAGGCGGCGCCGATGACGATCTCGCACGAGCTCAGGGATCACGAGGTGCAGCCGCTTCTTCGTCCGCCGCGATCAAGGCAGAGGCTCCGGATGCCAGGCCCGCAGGCTCGCGCGGCAAGACGGCAACCGCAGGTGTCGAAGAATCCGGCGAGACCTCGGAGGCGTCCGACGAGGACGTCATCGGCGACACGCGGATGGGTGAACCCGTCTATCGCGGCTCGAGTTCGGGCATCGGCATCCTCCAGCGGCAGCAACACCGCGCAGAGTCGCCCGCTCCCCCACAGCTGCCGCAGCAGGGCACCGCGGGTTCTGCGAGCTCAGCATCGGGCGCCGCGAGATCGAAGCTCGACGTGGGCAGGAAGCCTGGACAGCTGCCCGGGCATCCGGTCTTTGTGCCCATCGCGTCCCCTCGCACCGTCGGCAGTCACCAGTCCGGCGGAGGCGACACTCCGACCAGCTCCCACGCTCGGTCTCCCGTCGTTCCGCGCCGAGACTCTCCCAAGCTCGGCTCGCAGAGCCCTGCCAAAGGCGTTGCGGAGCCGTCCTCCGCGGTCGATGCCACCGCCACCGCCGCCCTCGCTGGATCCGCGTCTGCGGCCCCGGTCCCTGCGGTCTCGGACGAAGAGAACGCACGGCTCTTCCGCTACTACTGGCAGGGCTTCCATCCGTTCTGGCCGCTGCTCTACAAGCCAGGCATGACCAGCCATCCGGTCGAGCAGCTCCGCCATGAGCTGGAGCCGTGCCTGCTCTACTCGATCTACGCGATCGCTGCTTGCATCGTGCCGGGCAACCGTACAGCCGCAGCTGCTGCCGCAACCTCGTCGGTCGAAGACGCGACGGTCGCGCACGATCACGAGCGGGCGCAGCTCTTCAGCGACACGGCCGAGCGGCTGCTGTTTTCCAAGGGCCTGCGGCCGGATATTCCGACCATCCAGTCGTGCTGGTTGCTGTGCCTGTACTCTCACGGCACGGGCGATCTGTCGCGCGCGTGGAACTTCCAGAACCTGGCCTCGTCGATGGCCGTCGACCTCGGCCTCCACCGGTGGCCCATCTACCGCAGCCAGATCGTCGATGATCCGCTGCGGCGCGAGACTCGGATCCGGCTCATCTGGCACTGCTACATCATCGACAAGGTGCTGGCCGCCGAGATGGGCCGGCCCGTAGGGCTGCGAGCAAAGGACTGCGACGTGCCCCTGCTGTCCGAGACAGCCGAGGACGAGTTCGAGCTGTGGTCGGAGCAGACCGAGATGCAGACGGGTGCTGGGACGGCGGCTCAGCAGCCGAACGAGTTGGCACCGCGTTACCTGCACGCTCCCTCGTGCCTCAACTGGGGCATCCACCTGTTCAAGATCGTCGAGCGTGTCCTCGACGAGGTCCACTCGCTGCGGCGCAAGGCGCTGCTGCGGAAGCAGGGCAAGGGCAAGGTGCTGGCCGAGCTCGACAAGGCGCTGACCGATTGGCAAACCAAGCTGCCCAAGCATCTTCATCTCGACCAGGAGGCGCGCGACGGGCCGCTGCCAAGCTTCTTTGCGCTCAACCTGTGGCACTACACTGCGCGCCTGCTGCTCCACCGGCCTTTTATTCCGCAAGAAGAGGGGCTTTCGCTGGCCGAGGTGGTGGCCAACGACAGCCACCGCAAGAGCACCGAGGCGGCCAACACCATCTGCGACCTTCTGGAGCAGTCGTCGACCGACTTTGTCGACCGCCTCTCGACCGATCTGGGCTACTGCCTCTTCACCGCGGCCGTCATGTTTGTCTTTAACGCTCGGCTGCCGGATCCGCAGATCTCGTCCGACGCCCGGCGGCGGTACCAGCTCTGCTGCAAGTGGCTCAAGAAGCTGGCCGACACCTGGCCCGCCGCTTCGGCACAGAAGCTGCTGCTCGATGGCTTTGCGCTAGTCGGACAGGATGCGTCCAAGTCCAACGAGGCCCCGGCGCGAAGGCCCTCGATCGCCGCGCTGGGCATGCTTCACCAACAACAGCAGCAGCAGCAGATGGCAGCCAGCCAGGGCAACTCGGCGCCGACGGGCTCCAATGTTTCGGCGTGGATCGCCGAGACGGACGCCGCCACCAAGGCGCAAGGTACCGGCACCGGCACTGGCACTCACGCTCCGGTCACAGCAGCACACCGGGTGCAGGGGTCGGGGCAGACGGCGCAACCGAGCCAGACAGGGGCGGGCGCCACTGGTCACGGCCAGGCCGGCGGCGTCCAGCCTCAGCCAGCGATGCAGCTCAGCCAACCACCTCTTGCCGGCGCCGCGGCACCTTTCGCCTACAACCCGTCCTCGGGCCCACCGCAGCAGCAGCAGCAGCAGCAGCAGCAGCAGCCGGTCGCCGGCTTCAGTGCGGCCGAGCTCAGCTTTGCGCCCGGCATCTTTGACGTCGAGTCGTTCTTCTGGAACGAAAACATTGCCATGAACGCGCCGTTTATGCAGCAGACGACTGGTGCCTATCAGTATGCTCCTGCCACACCAGTCCAGCACCAGCCGCACCATCAGCACCAGCAACAGCAGCAGCAGCAGCAGCAGCAGCAGCAGCAACCACTCGGTGGCTTCTTCGGCCTCGACAGCGTGCCGAACATGCAGCAGCCTGCTGCAAAGCAAGGGATGAGCCAAGGCGCGCAGGGCAACCGCAGCAACGGGCAGGCGCCACAATCGCAAGGGGACCCGGCCACCGACGGCCTGTCGATGCTGGCGCAGGTGACATCGTCGACGCAGCTGGGGCAGAGCTCGATGCCGGGCGGCGCGTTTGACCTGCAGCGTGGCAACCAGCAGGGCCTGGCTTACCCTGCGGCGAGCTCCTTTGTGCATCCGAGCGACGGCAGCGGTAAGCCGGTGGCGGCGGCGCAGCAGGCCAATGGCCAGACGGCGGCTGCGTCGCAGCACACGGGCATGACACCCTTTGTGTACCCGGTCGACGTCGCGCCCAATGGCGGCACCGGCGGCGGCGGGCACAGCGGCAGCAACAGCAACGCCGCCATGGGCGAATTCTGGAGCATGCTCGAGCTGCCGCCCACATTTCTGTAGACGAGCTGCGGACAGCACATCGACGCAGGGGAGGTGGGCGAATATTATGGCGTCGACGACGGTGCAGGAGCCTTAGTCGTCGCGACGTGGGCGAGATGGCGTCGGAGCCGGCAGAGGGCGGTGATGGAGAACGACCCAGGAAGAAATCAAAGTGCAGAGTGGGAAGACGGCTCCCCCTTGTGCCGTGCGAGACCATGCCTGCTTGCTTCCGAGGAGGCGGTACATTCATCATCCGGCCGATCCGGGCGCGCAGAGGCCTGGCCAGGCCAGCCGGGCAGGCATGGCGGGATCGCAGGGACGGTTTTGCCGCGTCCACCGTACGTCGTTCTGTTGTCGTCGCACGACGGCCGTTTGTTGAGTTGAGATCATATCGTTGGCTCGTCGCTCGCTTCGTGGTGCAAACTGGCTGCTCACCGCTTTCCATACTCCGCCTCGTCGTCGTTTCTCGGTTGTGTCACACACGCACGTAACTGTACGTAGAGCGATGGTGAGGCAGGCAGAGCCAGAAGGGCTGGGGGTACGGTAACTACGGCGCGCAACGTTATGACGAAAGGGCATCGACGACCGCCAACGGAAAGGAAAGCAGGCCAGGCCAGGGTTCAGTAAGCGGCCGCGGCGCGGGTTCTTCGTTTGAGAAGAGGCGGCAGGTAGGGTCCTAGCCTGCGCCTCATCCGACGATATCGACGCTTCGGCTGCCCAGAAATAGCCCACTAGCTCTACCTCCATATATTCCTGTCGATTTCATGTTTGGCATCCGTCGATCCGTCTTCGACGAAACCATCCATGCGTTACATGCGCCATTCTCTTCTCCTCGATGAGAAATGCCAAGAAGCAGCAGCGAGCCGCCAAGCGTGCGTACTTCTGCGTCGTGGAGCGCAGTCGCGTTGCATGAGGAGCTACATAGAGACCTGGTGAAGCAGGAGCGTACGTCCGTAGGCGGGGACGTGTACGATGTATGGGGCTCGCCCTGCGGTGGTGCGCGAAGCACGCCGGGCGACCACAAGGTCGAGCGCAGCGAGCGAGACCAAGCGCGCAGCCCTCTTGCCTGCCAGCCAGCTGCCGCGCCCAAGGCAGATGAAGGCAGGCAGGGCAGGGCGAACCCTGATCTGACCCCGACGGCTAAATTTGAATTTCCAAACCCCTGCCTGGCCCTGCCTGGAGCCAAGCGGCTGGCGGGCGACGGCCTCCAATTTTGGCATCCGACGATCGTAGACCAGACCGACCTCGCGCTCCCTCTGCGTTCGGCAACGAGCCGGCGCGGAGCTCGTTTTCGATGGGGGCCCAGCGCATCCCTCGACTCCCCAACGCGGAGCTGGGCCAGACCGTACGTCGTCGTGGCTACTGGTAGCCAGCAGCTGCAGGTGCGATGCCGAACCATGCCGAACCATGCCGGCCCGTCGTCGTCGTCGTCGCCCACCGCCTCACGCCCCCCCCTACTGTAGCCCGCCGTCGTCTGGCCGAAGGTACTGTACTGTGCGGATGCATGCCGGTACGGCGACGAGCGGAGGCAGGCAGGCGGCCGGCGAGGTGCCCGGCCAGCTGTCCGATCGAACTGCTGGGCCCGCTGGCCAGGCCTGGCATGCCAACGCGGCTGCATGAGGCCGAGACGCTTGCTTGCAGATCCGTACAGCCGGGCGCTCGGCGATGGGACAAAAAGGCAGGCAGGGGAGCGTCGGCAGGCTGGCAGCCTGGCAGGCTGGCTGGCTGGCTGGCTGGCGCACCCCCGAAAAAAGACGCCGCGCAACAAATGGCAGGCGGCCAGGCGTTTCCGAGACGGGGGCGGTCGCACTGAGCCCGAGCCTGAGGCCCTGCTTGCTTGGACTACAGGCCGGCTAGGCCGGCCTGCTGGCAGGCTGAGGCCGCGCTAGAGCGAGCTCGCCCTGCCTAGCCTAGCCTGCCTCTACCTAGCTTACCGCATGGTACGCTGCGCCCGAGCGTCGATCCATCTCAAGCGCTGCTGCGTACAATCGACCGCATGGGTCGCTGTCGCAGTCGCAGTCGCAACGCACGCTGCTGGCCCAGCAGAGCACGCCCGCAAACACAGCAGAACGGCGCACGCTCCCCGACTCGACTCGTCCTCATTCCTCGGCCTCCTACCGACGCAGCCAAGAACCGCCAAGCAGGGCAAGGGCTTGGGGCGCGCGGCGTCGTCTCACCTCACTAGACTCTTCTCTTTGTTGTTGCTATTGTGCTGGGGCGCCGACGACGTCTGTACGATGCTCGTCAGCCGTATGTAGGCACAGCGGTAGGCGGCGGTCCTCAGCTCGTCTGGCCGCACGCACGGCGACGACGGCGACGACGAGATGAAGTGAAATTGACCGAGCTGGGCGCGCTCGACGCCCACCCACCAGCAGCCTGTCTAGCCTTGCTGCCTGCCGGCTGCCTTTGGCTCCTGTCTTCGGGTGTTGCTCTGGAGCGTTGCCGTGCCGCGAGCGGGGCTACAGAGAGGCCGCCTTGATTGGTTGGTTGCCGGCCGACGCTTTCCTCGCTCCTTCGGTTTCGGCATCGAGGGCGCTGGCCTGCCTGCCTGCTGGCCTGGCTTACCTAGCCTCGCCTCGTCTTGCCCTCGTTGCCTGCCTGCTGCCGGTCCGGCCCCTCGACCCTTCGATCTGCCCGTCGTCATCAAACGCCAGGCAACCCAGTGTTCAAACGTCCCCGCCAAGTGGTTCGGATGGCAGACCGACGCCGCCCAACAGAGAAGCCGTTCCTCGACCCGTCTCGTCTCGTCTCGACCCGTTCTCGACCCCCCCCCAACCCGCTGCCGAAGTTTCACCTCTGCCTCGCTCCTCTGTCGCTTCACCATCCTTCCCATCTGTGCCTCGCCTCTCTCCCTCTCGCCCTCAACAACACGCACCGCCCCCTTCCGGCCCCCGCTTCAAGGCTCCATACCGATACCTTGGCTGTTGTGGCCTTTGACCCAGACCCGTTTCGTCCACCGTCCACCAAGAGGTCTCCGCCGGCTCGGAACTGCCCCTCACGCTCCCTTGCACCGTCTCTCTGGCGCCTTCTTGAAGCTGGCCATAGCCCTCGCCGACCACCTCGCCCTCGCCCCTGCCAGCATCGTCTCTTCCACCAACAACGACAACACCGCCGCCGCCGCAAGCCTCCCATAGATGCACACCGTGTCTCCCATCGCCCTGAGCACCACGGTTCCGTCACCCACCTCTTGCACTCCCCACTCCCCTCCTCTGCTCCCTCGAGCCTAGACTGAGAGACCGCCACCTGCCGACCAGACAGCCCCGCTACGGTACTCTACCACCGCGACCCTCTCGCTCGCCATGCGCTTCGCCAGCCTCTTTGCGGCGGCCACCTGCGCGCTCGCCTCGACCTCGTCCGTCTGGGCAGCCCACTCGGGCTCTACACGCGCCCTCCTCCGCCGCGATGCCTCAACCACCTTCGCCTTCGACTCGGGCGCCACGGCAAAGAACACCGACGGCGAGGACCACGGCACGCCCAAGGTGCCCAACGGCGCGCAGCTCGTGACGTTCCCCGTGGGCACAAAGGGCCACCAGGCTGCCGTCTACTGGGCCGACTCGCCCAAGAATGCCACGGCCAAGCAAGCCTTTGTCATGATCCACGGAAGGATGAAGGACGGCTTCGACTACTGGACCACCATGAACGACATCCTCCAGAGCGCCCTCGACGCCGACGATTCCAACGCCGACCCCAACGCCATTGTCGTCGCGCCCCAGTTCTACTCGGCCAAGCTCAACGAGGGCCAGTACGCCGACGACGTCCTCGCCTGGGGCGACGTCAACGCCTGGCAGGCCGGCGAGGCCGCCGTCCACCCGGACGGCGCCACCGAGTCGTCCTTTGACACGCTCGACGCCTTTATCGACGAATTCAACGACAAGTCAAAGTACCCCGCCATGCAGCGCCTCATCTTTGTCGGCCACGGCGGCGGCGGCCAGCTGCTCAACCGCTACGCCATCGTCGGCAAGGACGCGCCCGCCGGCATCCAGATCCGCTACGTTGCCGGCGACCCCTCTTCGAGCGTCTACTTTACCACCGACCGCCCCGTCACCGACGACACGGTCGCCTCGAAGAAGGACTGCCCGCTCTACAACACCTGGCGCTACGGCTTCGACAACTTCACCGGCACCCTCCAGGGCCTCAAGACGCCCCAGGACTACTTTGCCCAGACCATCACCCGCGACGTGCGCTACGTCGTCGGCTACGACGACACGGCGTCGAGCGGCGACCAGTACTGCATGGCCATGCTCCAGGGCGGAGAGAAGCGCCGCGACCGCAACCTGAGCTGGTGGAAGTACATCAACACCCTCGCCCGCACCGCCGAAGACGTCAGCGGCCTTCCGGGCAACTTTTCCAACCTGCCCGACTGGTCGGCCGTCTCCAAAAACGTCATCTCGCACCACCTGACCGTCATCGAGGGCGCGACGCACGACGCCATGGAGGTGTTTGGCTCCGCCGACGGCAGGTCGGTGCTGTTTGACGACGCAAACGTGCCCACGGGCTGGAGGCCCGCCGGCTGGAACCCAAAGGGCAACGGCCAGAAGGTGGCGGCCCTCAGCTCGAGCGGCGCGTCGGCCTCGGGCTCCAGCGCCCCTTCGGGTTCGCACACCAGTGCGACCAAGTCGGGCGTCTCGTCGTCGTCGTCGTCGTCGGCGGCGGCGTCGTCGAGGAGCAGGGTAGGTGTCGCCGGTCTCGTGGCCCCGCTCGTCTTCATCCTGGCATCCACCGTCTCGCTCCTCTGAGGGTCTCGACGCCGTTCACCGCCGCCGCCGCCGCTGCTACGGCGTCGCTCTCGTGTCCATATGTAATTTATCAAGAGAGGATCCGTCTTGTCTCGCGGCCGGCCTCTGCCTCCGCCTCTGGACATCGGTTTTCCCGCTCGATTCATCCTTTGTGCTCGCTCCTATCGCCAGATGGATAGTCGATGCGGGCCGCGTCTCTCTCCCTCCCCTCCCTCTCTCTCTCGTATCAGAGCCTGGTCGCTCTCTTTCCCCCCACTCTCCCTCCTTCTCGGTCTCCGAAGTAGTCCATCGACACACACACACACACACACACACACACACACACACACACACACACACACACACGACCACACCACTCTCTCGTGCGACTACCTACCCTACCCTCCCCTACGTCCGGTACCCGTACCCTTACCGTACGTACGTACGGACCGGCCCGGCGCGGTAC